CATAGGTATTAATTATAGGTGATGTTGCAAGACAAAGCTATATTAAGGTTCCTTATTATGAAAGTATTAACTTAAGTGAATAATACAGGTGGTTGTTCTCGGGTAGAGCGTACACAAAATTTGCTAGTCAAAGTACCAATCCACTCATAAGATTTTCTACCCTATATATAGAAGAAATTAAAAATGGTCTGCAAAAGTTTGGAAAATGAATGTCAAGATCACAGAAATGTTGAAACAATCATCAGGGTCACCTATACCTTTTTATTGCAGATAGTTAAATACTTAAATACAGTACTCTAATTGTATTCCCTGCCAACATGGTAACCTGCAAAAAGAGAATAAATTGATCAATACAGAGAAAATATAGTACATAGCTTTTCTCAAGAACGTCACATACTTCATTAAGAATAAATTACAACTGAACTTGAAAAGCATTAAGATGTTCTACATTGTTGGATATCGTCAAACAACTGTCAGATTTTTCGAGTCCCGATGGGTGCTCAATGCTCCAAATATAGTTACAAGTAATATAGTGGAAATGGTGCCATTTGATTTTCTATTACTGGTCCTATCAATATTCAATGAAGCCTTGATTTTGTCGTTTTTCCCCTTTCTGAAATAACTCGTACAGATGGCATACAATAAAATAGTTATGGGTCTTAATAGCAAGAAACAAATGACTGACATCACGAATTGAACTGAATTTTATTCAATCTGCACCCATTGTCATGAACAGAGAATTAGGAGCACAACTTTTTCAGTTTTTCTATCGAACTGGTCCCTGGTACTCTTGGGCAGCGCATTGCTGTTCCACCCGCTGGACGTGGACGCGCACGCACCGCCTATGGCCGGCTCATACAGCGCCATCGGCATTGCCACGACGTCGACCTCGTTGATGTCATTGCCCAAGTGTAGCGCTGCGGCCACGAGATTGCTTCATAGAAGCTGGAGTCGACCACCCTGGTTGTTGCTGGACCTGTCTTCGCGGGCGGGAGGGCCACGGCGGATGCGCCCACGTCCCTGCCCACACGGCCGTCGGTACGTGCGCTACACACATTGCTGGCCAAGACCACATAGCAGTTAATTTATTTTGCATTGAAAGGAACTGTAGGGTTGAGCTAAAATTCCAAAACTTGTTGATATCATTAACCTACACTATAGTTCATCTCTTGTATAAATGTTGCCATAAAGAAACCCAAAAATCAGAAGGGTTCATAAGTGTATATGACTTTGGAAGTAACAGTAAATTGGAAATGCATCCATTTTCAGGGGAGAATACTTCATGGAATTGAAGCACATGAACATAACATTTATGTTCAGATAGAGCGTTCCATTGAAAATAAAAGGCAAAAAAAAGTTGTTCAAATATATTCCACTGGAAACTGTAAAGGTAAAAACATAGTTGTTCAGAAAATATATTCATTTTAAAATTAAACACAAAGCACATAATTTCAGCAACTACATTCAGATAGAGCATTCCATTGAAAACTGAAAAGTAAAACATTTGTTGTTCAAATATATTCCAGTGAAAACAGAAAAGGTAAAAACATAGCCGTTCAAAAAAAATATATTCCATTGAAAACTGAAAACATAGCACATAATTTCAGCAAAGCCGAGCATTCCTAGCCCCACCTCATGCCAGGAGGTCGTTATCAGCCCTTTCAATCGTCAAGAGTGTAGAATAGGGACTAGTCCTACGCCTGTCACCATGGACACCAAGCTCCTGGGAGCACTGCGACTACTACTGGGAGCAGGCTGTTTATCATTGGTGCCGAAAGAGGATAAGCAATCTCATTAACTGGACTAAACAGCATCAAGTAGCAACCTGAAAAAGTTAGTGGTAACCTGAGACCATAATACCTATATAGTTACATTGAAATAGTTTGTGGTAATGGTAACCTCAAGATGCAAATAGTTAGTTTTCTCTATTTTTTTGGCAAGAAAAGATGCAAAAGTAGTAACCTCAGTTCATAGCAATTAGCAATGACACCTAGTTTTGAGTTCATCTGACAAATAAATCTACAGGTAATTGTAATGGTTAGAACTAAAGAGTTAAACATATTGGTATGTTTTATGAAAAGGGTATCTAAAAGGAACACTGGGGTCAGTCGACATGTATATTCAAGAAGACTGTCAAAGCCCTAAGAGAATCATTGTTTGAAAAAGAGGTTGGAAAACCAATTGGGCAGCTTATTTTCATTTGTGGATGGAACAAAACACTAAGCTCCTCACTGCAGGCACTTGAATAATGAAAAATATCAGTATAGGTATAATCCAGAACTTGTTATTTTTATTATTTTCTAAAGGATTTCTATCCGATTGGTCCATAAATCAGACAGTTTGTAGCGTTCTTCCTTCATTGTGGTTTTCTTTTACCAACAGCTTAGGGGATTTGAAACCCAAATGGAGAAGTGGATGGGAGCTTGTGATTGCATTACAATGAACTCACCAAGATAGTCTCCAAGCTCCAGTCCACCAATATTTAAGCCTTGATATTGGTGCTAGAGCACTTGTGGTCAAACTATCCATAGAACAACGTAGTAGTAATCAGTTTTGAAAGGTCTGTTTCTTCTTCACTTGGAAGTTGGAACCTGGCTTTGGGAAATAAAAAGAAAACATATTTATGAGTGAGTCATGTCTAAGTTGCCGGTAAACACCATAGTAGCTTTGCTCTTACCACAGAATATTCAGTGAAATAAAGATTTATCTAATAGCACCATAGTAGCTTTGCTACTGAAGTGTTTAAATGAGGAAATATATTGAGGATTTTAGCTCATATAAATATGTATCCAAACTATAGTAGAAAACCTAAGATGGTCACATAGAAAACCTAATACATGTAATGATTATATATGTGTGATGCAAAAGCCTCTCATGACTGTTGCAGTGATAATTAGAAGGAAAAAGAAAACTATAGTACAAGCAGCATAGCAACATCTCTCTACAACTAAATTCTTATTAAAATGTGGCAAAATTCTCAAACACCAAATGTGTCACCCAACTCAACTCAACTTCAAGATGCTGTAGGTCAAGGGCTCGAAGGCTCGAACCGTAACCCTAGATGCTGTAGGTCACAGCCGCGGGGAGAGGGAGGGCGCGCTTCTTCGGCTGCTCGGAGCTCCTTCAACGGTCCTTCCTCTTCGCGGCGTTCGTTCCCCTGGATCGTCGGAGCAGCCGAGCAGGGAAGGGCGTGGCGGAGCGACGGCGTCGTGGGATTTGGTCTGGCGACGGCTTGGCGCGGCGGCGCGGCGTCGGAGTGGACTGCACGGGTCCTCGCGGTGGTGGAGCTGAGCGCACGCGCGGTGCCGCAGGGGCCCTTTGCGGCTTGGGCGGCGTGCGCTTGGGAGGACGGAGGGCGTGTGAGGAGCCAGGAGCCTGGGAGGATGTCGGATGCGGGTGGGGCGTCGTCGTGCTGAGTGGGAGTCGCAGGGTCGAGAGCGTGGCCCACCTGTCGGCGCAAATTGGAGTTACACAGGCGCGTCTGGCCTAGCGGCAGCGCGTGGAATTTGAGGTAACGCAAAGACGCCGTTTTTTATTTGCGCGTCTCGTAATTGGAGTTATACAGACAAAGGCGCAAAACGTCTGGCCTAATCTTATAGCAATTTTTTGAAATTTGAGGTCCAACTAAACACGCGCTCACCACGGGGAGTGAACGGGTCCTGTTTCATCTTTTTAGGAGTAGATAGAGAAATGGCCTCCTGGAACTCGGACGGACGTGCTCAAAACCAAACGCACGCACGCATGCATGCATATAATTGCACGCTAGAGCGCGAAGCTCTCGTGGCCTCACGTACACGCGCTCCCAATTTACTACTCCCTCGGTCCGTCCGGCCTATATAAGTCTAGCTCGAACACTAGATCCAACGTCTCGCACCAACAAATCCCACCAAAAAAAAAGGGGAAAAGCTTTCAAGAATGGCGGCCGCCAAGAAGACGGTGCTCGTCGTGGCGGCGCTGCTGCTCGTCGCGCTCATCGCGCTGGAAGCCGCCCCTCCGGCGTCCGCCGTCACGGACTGCAAGGCCGGGTGCGCCGAGCTCAGCCGACTCGGCGTGTTCAACTGCGAGAAGCGGTGCGAGGCGATCGCCGCCCAGGCCCAGCAGGGACCCAGGGACCCTGACAAGTCGGTCTTGTTTTGATATCCCGTACGTAATATGTTCGTATATATGTATGTATATACCTCATGATGATGATACAGCAGCAACCGGCGGCAGGCTACATCAGTATATGTATATATGTATATATATAGCGACCATCCATGCATGGGCGATCATGCATCCCTATACATACATATGTAAATATCTATATAAGCTGGCCTGTCCATGTAATTTGGTTTCCCGCGTTTCGTTTGGCGTCTGTGACTTCTTTGTGTCCGACAAGTCACCCATGGTCCATGGATCCACCGATGGATTTGTAATGTAATCGAGCCACTCAAGATGGACGCTTGTTGTTTTTTATTTGCAAGCATCTTAAAACACGGCTCATACTTTACTTTTGGTGCTAGAGAAAAAAAAAAAATTCTTTAACTCGAGTCCCCTGTTTTATGGAGGTTTCTAAATTTTCCTACTCAGCCCCACCATCCAGAGGGCTTTTTTTTTTTGTGGCATTTTTCCCTCCATCAACTCCCTTCCGTATATTTTTTTACGGAGATTTGCTAGCGCTTGACGTCCGATCCAGGACGTTGGTGTCGGACAGTACCTGCTCAGCGAGCGAAGGAGTCCCTTGGGTTGAGGTCATCCAGCATGGTGAGCCCCTCGTCTCCCCGGCACTAGGTAGGGACGAGAGCAGGGGAATAGGCGGGGAAAAAATAAAAATCAAAGTAATGTGACCGATACAAAACTGTTTCTTAGAGAAGAAACAAGTTGTCCTAACCTCCAAAAAGCTAAGAAACCTCTGGTTTCAGAGATGGGGCATGTACTCGTTTCCAGCGTGTAGGCTAAGAAACGCATCTGCTAAACCAGAAATTTAGTTTCTCATCTCAGTCGCAGTGAGATTAGCAAGTTTACTTCTCCGCACCGTCCTTTTCTTCTGAACTTCCCTTGAGGCTCGCAGACCTCACCGGCAGCACGCTGCGCCGCTCTTTGCCACCTGGTTTAGCAGATGCGTTTCCATACCATATCATTCCAAGAACAGCTACTAGGACCATCCCAATAACGACCTGAAGATTCAGGCCTTCCTTGCCAAAGAAGAGAAACCCAAGGGACAGAACAAGCACGGTCTTCATGTGGCCCAGAACTTGGAAGGATACCGCAGAAAACCGCCCGATGCAGATGAACTGGCTCAGATTGACGCCAATGGCGATGAAGCATGATAGCGTGAGAAAAAAACTGCAGAATCAGGGAAACGATATGGTAAGGATGCCATTCAAATCCAAAATTCTGATCCAGCAAAGGTGAACACTAAGTGAAGCTATATGTATATGGTCAGCTAGAAGCTATTGTTGCTAGCAGGTCAAGCAGTAAAATGGATGAATTTCAGTCACAATAATAAATGAAATTATTTTTTTGACAAGAATAATATATAAAATTATTGAACTAGTGTTAACGTTTCCTGGATAGCTTATAAACCATCACTGTATTGAAATTCTCACCCAGCTAAATGCAGCCTAATCACCATCTCATTTCTGAGTAAACAGATAACCCGTAAGAAGGATCAATCGCCATATGAACGTAGTGATAGAAACAATGTTGAGATTTTGTCCATACCAGAGCAAGAGATGAAAAAAACGAAGTGATCCACCCTTTGCCCCGTCAACAAGTAGTCAACAAATGGCCCTGCCAGCAGGAGGGACCCTGCTTGGGCTGGAGCTGTGTGGCCCAGCAGGTTGAACGAGTTCAGAGAGTACTTGTGTTGGAGGAAATGAACAAACTGCAAAAGAGCAGAAATTACAAAGGAATCAAAAACCGTGCCCCTTTTAACTGGATACATGATAGGACCAAAGTAACTATGCAGTGCAAATAGAACAATTACTAAAAACGTGGAGTCGTCACCATTGGAAAACTGGACTTTGCCGAGTGTCTGAGACTTTGCCGAGTGCTTTTTATCGGGCACTCGGTAAAGCCTGGCTCTCGGCAAAACTGGGCTTTGCCGAGTGCCGCGGCACTCGGCAAAGATCCCACTCGGCAAAAGGTGGCCAGCCCGTGACGGCGGCCACCTGCCGTCAGATTTTGCCAAGTGCCTAATGGCTGACACTCGGCAATTTTTATTTTTATTTTTAAAAACTTATTTTGCCGAGTGCCAACCCTAGGCACTCGGCAATTTTTTTTAAAAAAAAACATATTTTGCCGAGTGTAAGCCTTGGGCACTCGGCAATTTGTTTTTTAATTTTTTAAAACTTATTTTGCCGAGTGCCAACGCTCAGGCACTCGGCAATTTTTTTTTTATTTTTGAAAATCAACTTGCTTGAAAGTGCCCCTGGCCAGACACTCGAAAAAACCCATTTTTGCCGAAAAGTGCCCCCATGGCACTCGTCAATTTTTTTTTTGATTTTGGGCCCAAATTTATTTCTGGGGCCTTGTGACAGTATTTCAAACTCTATTTTAAAATTTGGAGCAATTTTGACTTTTTTGATATATTTCATTAGTTTATTTTGTTTCGTCCAATTTTTCGGGATATTTCAAATTTGAAATGCAGGTACATGGAATAATGGACTTTGGTCATCCAAAAATTGATACTCATGATATTTAGGGTATGTTTAGGCCGTATCCAGGAACTCACATGAAATCTCGAGCATCTCGTTGACGTAACATGTCGAGGTACTTGCCGGAAATGTGATTTTAAATTATATAAAATGCAAACGAAGTCCGAAAATCACGAAACTTGTCGAGGCGTTGTGTTATCGCATGTTTCCGAAAATCACGAAACTTGCCAGAGAGGAGAAGGGAGGAGGAAGAAGGAGAAGGGAGGTGGAGAGGAGAAGGGAGGAGGAAGAAGGGAGGAGGAGCCCCGGCCGCTGTCCACGCCTCGTTAGCGACGGTGCCGTGCCCTCGGCGCCCTGCTCCCGACTCCGCCCACCGTCGACGAGCACACTAGATTCGCCCTTCCCTTTCTATTCAAATCGTGCAATGGATGTCGGCCATCGAGCCCTTGTTAGTGGTAATAGTTGTTGTATGTGGTTTTCGGCCATCGAGCCGTTGTTTGTGGATGTTGGCCTTCGTGCCGATCTTTTTTGCAGGTTTTTGAAACCTCCCCGTGCAGGGGAGGTTGTGCCGAAATTTTAAATTGTCACTAATGTATTGCCTTTTTATGTAGGAGGAGGCCCCGACAGAGGGACCTCGGTGACCCCGATTGTCTTCGTCAGCGTTGCGGGTCTGCCTGCACCGCGTCGCAGTGCCACTGCACCGACTCGCCACAGCCCCGCTAGCCTGACCTCACCGGCACCCTAGGTATAACCCCTCTATCCGTATCATGGTCTTAGGTCACTGATCCTAGTTAGGCGTCTCCCGTCCGAAAGAGATACGGTCGGAGTTATGCAGGTCTTTGCATATCTGCGAGCGTTTCTGTTTCGGATTGTCCACATTTTTTGGACAGCCTGCGGATGCGTAGATGGGTTAGTTTCCATGGTCCGCTCCGGTTTGAGATGGTGTTTCGGCATCACCCCCCTGTTGTTCTCTGGATACACACTCTCCCTTGCAGGATGTGTATCGGGAGAACAGCGGGGAGGTGCTGCTGAAATTCCGTCTCGGATAGGAGCGGAGCATGGAAACTAACCTCATCTATGGATCCGCGGGTGGGATTAGGACCTATCCTCACCTATTAGAGAGTAGGGACACCGCGTAGATGCAATTGATGGTGACTCATATGTGCTGATACGTCTGTTAAAGGATGGAGGACCGTGAGTGGATGTACACGCTCCGGAGAGACGAGCACGATTACGACTTGCTATTTATAGTCAAGGTCGAAGAATTCTTACAGCATGCATTTGGCGAGAGTGTTGGAGGCCATTCTCTAGTGGTTTGTCCGTGCAGCGATTGTGACAACAGAAGAAGGAAAGATAGGTTAACCATGGGTAAACATATTGTGAAGTTTGGATTTACTCTGGGCTACCACTGGTGGATCCACCATGGTGAAGCCGATCGTATTAGGGAGGATGTGGTGAGACCACGGCTTGAGGCTTTCGATGATGATGCTGGGGTAGCAGACATGCTGGATGACACGCACCAAGCTCAGTTCGCTGAAGGACGTGACAAGGAGGAGATGGAGGCTGCCTCAGATGCCTTCTACCTGATGTTGGACTCGGCACAGAGACCCCTTCATGATCATACTAATGTTTCTCAGCTGGATGCCATTGGTCGCGTAATGGGGTTGAAGGCCGAGTTAAACCTAAGTCGAGAAGGCTTCGACAAGATGGTGGCCATGTGGAGCGATATGCTACCGAAGACACACATTATGCCGAAGAACTTGTATGAGTCAGAGAAGCTCCTTCTTGCACTTAAGATGCCGTATGACAAGATACATGTGTGTCCGAAGGGGTGCGTCCTATTTAGGAAAGAACACGCGGATGCAAAGTACTGCTCGAAGTGTAAATCCTCCAGGTACGTGGAGGTAGACTCAGGCGATGGCTAGAAGAGGCAGCTTAATATCCCCATGAGAGTCCTACGACACCTTCCGTTCCTGCCGAGGCTCCAACGGCTATTCATGACCGAGGAATCCGCAAAACAGATGACATGGCACAAAAATGGCACACGGTACAATCCTGAGAAGATGGTACATCCATCCGATGCTGATGCATGGAAGTACTTCAATTTGCGGCATCCTCTCAAAGCAGAGGAGGCTTGTAATGTACGTGTCGCGCTGGCAACAGATGGGTTCAATCCATATGGCATGATGGCTGCACCATACACATGTTGGCCCGTGTTCGTCATCCCCCTGAATCTCCCCCTGACGTCTCCTTTCAACGGCATACCGTGTTCCTGTCGTTGATAATCCCTAGACACCCGGGGAGTAATATCGGTGTCTTCATGGAGACTGTGATAGATGAGTTGATCGATGCTTGGGTCAAAGGGGTGTGGACATACGATCGAGCTATGAAGACTAGCTTCAAAATGCACGTCTGGTACCACTACTCCCTGCACGACTTCCTGGCGTACGGGTTAATGTGCGCCTGGTGTGTTTAGGGGAAGTTCCCATGCCTAATATGTAAGGAAGCTATGAGGTTCATATGGTTGAAGAAGAGTGGCAAGTATTCGTCGTTCGACAAACATCGTCAATTCCTCCCTCTTGACCATCCATTCAGAGAAGACGTCAAGAGCTTTACGAAAGGTGTCAAAGTGATGGACCCTAGACTGCGCTTGAGGACTAGGGCGGAGGTTCGTGCTCAGATAGATGCTCTCGTGCCCAACGAAGGTGGTGGTTTCGTGGGATATGGTGTGCAACATATGTGGACTCATAAGTCCGGCTTGACGAGGCTCCCCTATTTCGATGACCTCCTACTGCCCCATAACATTGATGTCATGCACACTGAAAAGAATATCACCGAGGCACTTTGGGCAACGCTCATGGACACTAACAAGTCTAAGGACAACCCTAAGGCTAGAGTGGACTTAGCGATGTTGTGCGATAGGCCAAACCTAGAGATGTGGCCTCCTGCAACAGGAAAGTAGTGGAGAAGGCCTAGGGCCCCCTATGTCTTGAAAATCGATCAAAGGAGGGAAGTACTTCGATGGATCAAGAATTTAATGTACCCTGATGGGTATGCAGCGAATCTGAGCAGGGGAGTGAACTTAGAGACTCTGTGAGTCAACGGGATGAAGAGTCATGACTACAACATATGGATTGAGCAGATACTTCCGTCGATGGTTTGAGGCTATGTCCCTGAGCATGTCTGGCTAGTGCTAGCAAAGTTGAGCTACTTCTTTCGCCAGCTTTGTGCCAAGGAGCTATCTTCGACCGTCATTATAGAATTGGAAACTATGGCACCTGAGTTGGTCTGTGAGCTTGAGAAGATCTTTCCACCCGACTTCTTCTTGCCGATGCAGCATCTGATTGTGCACCTCCCGACCGAGGCACGGTTGGGGGGGGCCCGTGCAGGCCCGTTGGTGCTATCCAATCGAGCGATGTCTAAAGACTCTTCACAGGAAATGTACAAATAAAGCTAGAATTGAGGCTTCCATTGCAGAGGCAAGCATTCGGGAGGAGGTTGCAAACTTCACGACATCCTACTACAAGCCGATCCTTCCTAGCAAGCATAATCCACCCCCTCGTTATAATGCCGATGAAGTTGAA